TTTACGTTCAAAACAAGCGTGAAGAGTTGATTAGATTTTATTCTATTAAATTAAATATTGATTATTTTGATAGTAAGGGAAAATTACTTGTTGCCCTGTTGCAATTACAATCTTAATTAGATTTAATACTAAGGTTTTAGAAGATTATAGTAATTTATATCAATGAAAAAAGCGAAATGTAATATCGATAATTATACTCTTTGTTTATATATTTATATAATTTATCATATTGATATATCATACTATAGTAAATAAATTGGGAAACTATTAAAACATCAGAGCTATTTCTAATTGAAACCCCTTTTTAACTTTCCGTAGGATAGTTATAGTAATAGCAATAAAATCGAAGAATATATATATATATATATATATATATATATATATATATATACTCGTATATATATATATATATATCCTTACGTTTCTAAGCATTTTGGCATACCTTAGAAAAAATGTATGTGTGAGTGTGTGTATGCATGTTTGGTTACAATTTTTCGTTCACGATTTCGGATGCACGAATCAACCAATTTGAATGAGTGAAAAAGCATTCAATTCGTATCGACGAGGAGACGTGCTGATTAGTTTTTGTCCAAGGCAGGTCTAGCCGTTTCGAATATATGGGGCAAAAAATGTCAAAAACGAGAATTCAGTATTTGAAAGAACGAAGCGTACGATTTGAATTATTCAAAAAACATTTTATCTGTATTGACGATACAAAGGCAGGTCCAGTAGTTTCGGATATCCAATAAAAAAAAGAAAAAAAACACATTTGGCGGCCATAAATGATTATTAGACATTTGCACATCAAATTATCAGATATTTTATAGAGTATCTAATAATAAATACAAATTTTGTTTATATTTTTATGGGTTCCGTACCAATGTTTATCCGTTACACTGCGATGCGGCGCTTATGCGCTTCATTCTTTCGTCTCAAAATGCTACGCACCGCGATTGCTTTGGAAAAAAGTTTAAACCTTCAAAAAAAAAATCAATATATAAAGAAAAATATAACTAGTGGTGCATGGTATCGTGCAAATTGCCGGAACTTTCTTTCCAAATGAAAAGAGCCCAATTCAGGCACTGCGGTGTGAAATGGCAATCGAAAATCTTTCGCACTATTCTTCCCTGAGTCAAGTTGGAGTTTAACCCAGCTCACGGACCTGCCTAGAGTAGCAGTACCAATTACTTCATTACTATAATTTCATTAATAGTATATTTAATGCTTTGTTACGACAATAGTAACTACTACCACAGTTTATTTCATTTAATTTAATATTCAGAAGATTCTAAAAGTCAAGACAAAAAAATCTAAATATAAAATCAAAAAATTAATCAAAACATTTCAAATTAAAGTATGTTTATAAATTATAGCCAAACCGAAAATTAAGCTAAAAATTTCAATTTCTTTTGGATAACATGAATTGAGAAAAGTTTTCTAAATAATCTAGATATACTATTGCCAAATAAGATGACAAAATAATATGTTAATTAATAAAAAATGTAACTGAAACAAAATTTATGCAAAATATTAAAATAAATTGCATTGAAGTTAAAATTTTATATTGAAATGAGTTTATTTTAATAAAAAATATGTAATGTTTTAATTTAAATAATATAATAATTTTATAATTACTAATTTCATTTATATTTTTTTTTTATACGTTTGGACGGAAAGTTTTGTTTAGAAGTTGTTTTGAGAAAAGCAAAATTAAATTTAAGAAATTATTAAATACTGTGACTATTACATAACACATTAAGTTCCCATATATAGTAATGGGCGCGAAAATGAAAAATATTTCATATATTCATGTTTTAGAGGTTTCTGAACATTTTGGCATGCCCCACAAAAAATGGATGTATGTGTGTGCTTTGTGTGTTCGCATTTTATCGTCCACGTTCTCGGGTGCACGGATCAACCGATTGGAATGGTTCAAAAAACATTCGATTCCTATTGATAAAGAGATGTGCCGATTAGTTTTTGGTTCTGAAATCGAGTTTTTGAGAGAACGGTGTATCCGATTTGAATGATCCAAAAAGCATTCAATTTATAATGATTGGGAGAAGTGGTGATTAGTCTTTGGCAAAGGCAAGTCAAGTCATTTAGAAGATACATAGCTAAATATGCAAAACATGGCAGTTTTTGAGAGAACTAAGCATCCGATTTGAATGATTAAAAAGCTTTCTGCTTGTGTTGACAAAACAATTGCTTTAAAAAAAAATTGCAAAATTATTTTTTTCAAAAAAGTTTTATATATATATATATATATATATATATATCAAAAATAATTCCGATTTTAATTTCAACCCTATCCACTCGGATGCCGCCGCTCCGAGAAATCTCGGAATTCGCGAGTGGAAAGAGCAAAAGATCCAAAAGTTCACTTATATACTTTAAATAAATAATTTTAACTTTGCAATTCAGTTTATATAATCTTTATTAATATTGTACCAAGTTACAGTATTAATAATAATCTATTTAAAAACATTTAATATTCCTCGAACATTTCGTTACGGTACGGGAAGTTCCAGCAACTTGCCTTAAGGCACGATGCCATACACCACTAGTTTTATCATAAAAATCATAAATATTTTATCTTTTTTTTAATTAAAACCAAAATTATATATTATAGCAATAAACCAAAAAACCAATGAATATTTTCTGTGATGTGAGTCAGTTACACAAACGTCAAAATTAAATTAAGTAGTATAAATATGAAAATAAATTTAATATTTTTTGATAAATTATATATATATATATATATATATATATATATATATGTATATATATACATATATATATAATCAGTAAAATAGTTAGAAAATGACACTTACCAAGATAAATTATTCAGTCACTCTTCAAATTCACTTATTTACGGCAGGTTTAAAAATTAGTGTGTCTCACATTTCATTGGAAGTATTTACGTCACTGTTAAAATATAAAATGTTCAAACTATATATTACACTATTTTAACATATTACAAATAAAATTATTGGCATGTGTATGTATATGACGCCACACGTGATAAAACAAAGTTGAGTATGAATTTTGATGGAGCACTTGTCAACTACTGAACGCGGCCACCTGCGACCGACTGAGCAGCAAGTGGCAATTATTTACATTGTGGCAGCACTGTAGATAAAACAAAAATGGCGCAATATTTGAAATTCAAATTTTTATCATATATAAAGTTTTTTGAAATAACATATAGCACTTCAGGTCAGATAATACAATTAAATTTTCAATGGTTATTTATTAGAGCTAAAGTTTTGTCCAAATTCTTATTTCAATAAATAATAAATTAAATGATTTAAATACCATGCATTTTGCACTAATAACAATAATGGCATATTTTTTTTATTATAGATAAATATTTATTTTTATTAAAAAAAAACAATGAATTTGTGAAAATTCATTAATAGTATATACCAGAGGTGGAAAACCTTTTTACCATCGGAGGCCAAACTTAAATTAGGCAGCAATAAGAGAGGCCGCATAAGCTGATTGACCAGAAGAAAGAGACTTATGATAAGTAATATAACTGCCTTTGGTAAAAATTTTCGCGAAACTATCATGACGTTGATGTGCAATAGTTGTTTGAAATTTGAAACATTACCAATTTGTACTATGTGGCAAAGGAGGCCGCAGGTTTTCCACCTATGGTATATACTATAAAGTTTATCGCAATATAAATTACCTGTTATATCATTCAAGTGATAGTTTCCAAATTCAGCTTATGAATTTGACATTGGAATACAATTTCCAATATTAATCACAACTACAATAAAACTAATTTTACATAAACATTGAATAGCTTTAAAAAGTTATTTGCAGAAAAATGTCTTCTAAAATATTTTTAAAAAAATATTCAACTTCAAGCCAGCTTGAACTTCTAAACTAATCATGCAATATTATTTTGTTTTTTTTTTTACATTTGTTCTGTACTAGTTTTTGGATGCTGATGCCAATTGCTATTGCTTGGGTGGAGCGACTAGGGCGGATGCTGAGCACGCCATTATGGAGTACAAAAAATGGGAGAAGGGTAGACAAGAACTATGAAGGAAGATTGTAAGGAAAAAAATCTCCCTCCCAACCAATTTTATAATATTATTGACAAAGTAAATAATATATGGTGCACTTAACAATTATATACAAGCAATAAAATATAAGTATAAAATGTATGATGACTAAAGTACGTGTATACAAAGTCAATAAATTACAAATAAAAAAATTGGATTACTTTTTTTATTTATAGGTATGTATGATTAATCAAAATATTTAAATATTATCAGTAGAAGTATAATAAATTTAAAAAACAAACTATGCAAATTTTTAATACATATAATAAAATTAACTCATTTTTTTTAATTTTAGCTTCCAATTGCAATTGCCTTAAATATTTTTATTATTATTTATTTAAAAAAAATGAAAAAAATATTAATTAGTAACTCTTATTTATTATTTGAATAAATTTGGCACATAAGAATTTTTTCTTGATATTGCCAACTAATTTATCACAATATATAATATCTTTGTTTTATGGTAAATTTATAATCTAATTATATTAAATATAATTAACTTATATAAGTGTTATTATATTATGCTTTTCATATTTTAAAATATGAATTGTCATATATTAATTCTTTGATTTATATATAATCTATTTAGTGTCATCAACAATAATTTATATATTATTATAATAACAATAAATGCATATAGAATATATAAATATTAAAAAAACATTGCAAATAGAATATATAAATATTAAAAAAACATTATTTTCACAGAAAATATACTCTTAATACATTTACAATATGCATTAATGTGCTGAAATATTTTAATTAATTTAAAACCATCGGATTGTAAAAATATTAATTATGTGTTAATACATTATTCAACCTAGAATTATTATACAATCTTGTAAAATGTCTTTATTTTTATATGTTTCTAAATTTCTATAAAGATGCTTCTAAAATACTTTAATGTGGTTCTTATTTCTGACGCCTACATATCAGCATCACAAAATACTATTTACTGGAACAACTTCCAGTTGAAACAATTTTACTTTGTAACTTAATTCCTAACGAATTCTTAAAATATATACAAAATCTTACCGTAATTTCGTCGAAAGTAAAGCAGTGAGTGATGTTTTCACAATAAAATAGCAATGAACAAATTATTGTGAACTAATATTTCCTTCTCAAGATTGTCCTCATCACTTTTTATCTTCACGATTAATATTCAAGTATAATTATTCTGATATTATTAAAATTACAGTTGTGCCTCAAAACCACCATTGATGTATCCATTTTCATGATCTTCTGAACTTTTTTCTGTTGCTGGAGGTGGAGGTTTCTTGGCCAGTAACTTTTTACGAATACTTTCACGTTCGTGACTATGCCAGAGTCCGTAGCCAAAGTAAATGAGTAAGCCTACGATTTGATTTATATATGATATATGATATATATATAAATATATATATATATATATATATATATGCAAAAAATATTTTTTCAGGTCTATTAGCTGCGATGGCCAGTGGCAAAAACTACAGGGATAGCTCAGAAATATTAATAATTCCATACTGATTTTCGCCAATTTCGTTACATCAATTTCTTAAGAATCGATCATACCGACGTCGATTTTAATCGAGATCGATTATTTCTCTTTATTGCAATCCAATTTGTATTTCTATTAATTGCTAAAAAAATTACTCACCTACAACAATCCAAATCATAAACCGCACCCAAGTGGTGACAGACAAGCTCATCATTAAAAAGACATTGATCAAAATGCTGAGTGCCGGCAACCACGGTACAAATGGTACTGTGAATGAAAGTTTGGCCGAAGATGGAGGTTGCCTAGCAATGATCAAAAGGCACATAAGGGCGACTGCTGCTATGACCCCAACAAGGACCACAGGCAAAACCTCGCCGTCAGAAAATCCATCCATTTTGGTAGCAATGAGACATCCAGATAGACACAGGATTGCTGTTTAAGAAATATGTTATTGATTGAGATAGTTGAGATAAAAATTGATTATGAATCAACGAGTACAAGAAAAAATATTTCACAAAATGAATAATTAAATGCAGTTGTAACACTTTATGTAAGCCAGTTAGGGGGCTAGGGGGTCCATTAATCACGTAAGCGAGATTTTATTTTTGGACCTCCCCTCCTCCTTGGTGATATATGGCAATATTCAAAATTTTTAGTTACGTGAGAAAGTATTTTTTTTTTTGAAAATGTTTGATTTTTTAAAAAAATAACAGTTATAAAATTAATACACGTGATATCTTACTGTACCCCTCTCTACCCCACGTGATGGTTCGTAATTTTTTGTCAAACCCGCCCTCCCTCTAAAAAACTCACGTGATTAATGGACGCCCTCTTATAACACTTTATATTTGATTGCTAAGATATTTCAATTCGTATTTCATGCTATTTATTAATTAAGAAAAATACATTTCTTTCACATAATTTTTCACGATATTCAATGCATAATAATGGTTAAAATATTATTTTATACCATCGTAAATTAATCGGTGGCATAAATCTATTATGCGTTTTCGTGTTGTAAATCGAAAACTTGAAAAGGTAATTAGGTGAGAGACAAAAACTAATAATTCAGTTTAAATTGTTTATTTAAAATATTATTTTCAATACTTACTGTAAGAAGTTGCGGACCATGTTACAATTGCAGAAGTTCTAACAGTTGGAGCTTTTGTTCTGCGTCCAACATTAAAAAATGTATGAAATACGCCTTGAGATGGTACTTCTAGTAGCTTAGATTCATCTTCGGTTCTATCAATTTCATACCTAAAATTTATAATTATTATTACTTATTACATACATAGTTTTGTATAAAAACAGAGGATTTTACAAATTACATATATCGTTTTAAATACCTAAGTAACATCACACAAGCAGCGACCATTGAATACGCTAGTAAGGTTCCAATTGACATCATATCAACTAATTCTTCCAGGTCGAAAAATAATGCCATTAGGCCTGCAAAAACACAGTTTTATGATATTGTTTGTATTATTTTAATAAAAACTATTGTTACTATGTATTTTTTTCTAACCCGTAAGAAAACCAGCCAACAAAGTCCCGAGGAATGGTGTCTTGAACCGAGGATGCACTCTTCCCATAAATTCGAATAACAATCCGTCTGAAGCCATAGCATAAATAATACGTGGCAAAGGAAACATTGAGCCCATTAAACTGAAGATAAAAGGGTCATAGTATATTAAATATTATGCAAATTCTTATTGGAGCTGATTTGATTTTTCGACATACCTCGCACAAAGTCCAAAAATTGCTCCTATACTAACAATATATTGAGGAGTTGTCCATCCGAGCAATTCAAAAGCGTGGGTAAGTGGTGCATCGACGTCCTGGAAATAAAATAAAAGTCTTTAAAGAATAAACTTTGCATAGTTAAAAAAGCTATCTATATAAATTAAAAACTGTTTAAACCTGTCTCCTAAGCGAATCAAAAAACGAACATGTGATGAAATACATTTTACATCAAACAAAAACAAAAATTGACTGTGATAATAATATTTGAAGTAGCAATCAATGGAATCGATATTAATTTTTGAAAATAATTTTAAATTTAAATTTATAATAAAATTAAATTCTAATATTTAGTTTTATTAGTTTATTTCTAAGTGGTAAACTCGCAAGAATATATTTATCTATTTCTAGTATTGTAAATTAACAATCTTATATAGAAAGCCGAATAGTGCGATTTTCAATTATCATAAGAATTAAAGATAAATTAGATTATAAAGAACTGAGGTACGTTTTTGTTTATAATATAACCTAAACTTGATAATTGGAATAAGAAATACAATAAATTGAAGTAATTGAGGTAGTAGTAAGATTCGTTGCGCATTTTTATGAAGAAGAAATATTGATAACAACTTGAAATACCATTATCCTTAACCGATTTTGTTCATTGAAAATATTGAATTTTAATCATGTAAATTAACTCTATCCAACATTTTAGTTTTTTTGAGAAATGTAGATTATTAAAATAATAAAGATTCTGATATAAACCATTTGAAATTCTTGTGTTTCCAAGGCTGGATAGCCTTTACCAAAATCCAATGAGTGTTTTATATTTAATATTAATTTATAATATATAATTTACCTGCTCATAATATGGAAGCAACATAGTCAGTACAGTTGATATCGAAAAATACGACAAGAATGTTATGAACAATGATCCTATTACAGCAATGGGTAAAGATTTCTTTGGATTTTTGGCCTCCTCTCCTGCAAAACATTTTTTTTTATTGCAACAATAATGCACAATTTGTATAAATATACATGTTTATATATATATATATATATATACATATATATATACTAGATGACCCAACAAACGTTGTCCTGTACCCATGCACACATTTTTTAATGTCCTATATTAAAATTTACCGTTTACCTAAAAATATATTTTTTTAAATTACGCTTCACTCCTAAATGCAAATACATCAATATGATGTTAGATGTAAAATTGCTTCAAATAAAATGATAAATCTCAATATAACTATATTGGAAATGGAAGTATTTTAAACGGTATAACAAATTCAGAAAAAAATAATATATAGTATCCGCGGTAAAAGTACAATATTACTTTGGATTTTTCCACCCAAAATAATTGCTTCAATAATGTTGCCTATAATTTTTATAATCTCGTACCATATTTTAACTGGATCCTAGTAATTATAATATCTAAATTACATTTTTATTAGTAATAAATTAATATACATTAAAACCATCTTTTTTTCTATATATAATTTAAGGCATCGAAATAAAATATATAAATTTATTTCTTTTAGATATATTTAATTCTAATCTAGTAGAACTATTTCATTCAGTTAAAAAATATACTTGATAAGTTTAAAAATATAAAAATGACAATTATATTCAAGTTCTACAAACCAAGTAAAAACTAATGCATTTATATTGAACAAAAAACAACATACATTTAAAACAGTTTACGATGTTTTTATGATTTATAAGTTATATGAGCACGTGTAAATAAGTGGGATCATAAAAATTGAACTGAGTAATTGGCTGTTAATCAATTCAACATCGAAAAAACGTCAATATATATATATATATATATATATATATATATACATATATATATACAGTGGTGTTGTCGAGCCGGAACGCGCCGGAACGTCGTTCCGGCAAATCATTTTTCGGGCGGAACGCGTTCCGGCAAAAAAAAATATAAAAAAATCGCTACATACAGAAAATGATTTAATAAGTATATTTTATAAATTATTATTCAACTAATTTTTATTAAATGTTCTTATTATTGTAATAAACGTCGTTCCAGCAAATCATTTTCGGGCGGAACGCGTTCCGGCAAGAAAAAATATAAAAAAATCGCTACATACAGAAAATGATTTAATAAGTAAATTTTATACGTTATTATTCAACTAATTTTTATTAAATGTTAATATTGTAATAAACATACATACATGTGCACAAAATGGGTTTTGTAATAATTTTTGTTTCTTTCCTTTTCGAACGGAACTGGAAAAAACATGAAAACTTGTTTTAGAACCGGTTTTTAAATTTTAGCGTTCCGGCAAAAAATATTAGCACAACACCACTGGTTTTATCAAAGTCGTTTTTAATTTAGTAACAAATTGAGGTGTATGAACTGAAATATTAATTACAATCCAGTAGTGTATTTCAAATTTCACATATGTTACTTTAAGACCGAAAAGTGTCTGACACCCTAATATTGCGGATATAAGTTGGACTTGTTTCGGACATAGCGGGCGTTAGTCGAATAAAATAAATAATTTAAGACATTCATATAATGGAAATTGATTGTAGCGAAAAAAGCAATTCTATAAATGCAAAAGCATAAGAACTCTTTTGCTTTTAATTAAATTTAAAAAAAATAATATTTTAATAATTCGATGAATTTTTTGCCATCTAAGGCAAAAATATAAGCCGTTCGATCGCTTGTAAATTTTTACAATCCAAGATCTATTGGTAATTTTTTTTAATCATTGTTTTATTGACATTTATTTAGTGGTAAATTAGTTGACAATTTATAGCAAAAGAGTTACCCTGATATTTCAATAGACTTATCGTCTCAATTTCGGCCTACAATTTGAGATTTGTATGCATATTCATAGAAACTTTGATCTTTTGAAAATCTGATGAAGGTTCTGTGGAATTGATGATCACTCGATTATTTTGATAGATTAAAAAATTGTACTCCTAGACTAGTAATTCCCAACGTGGGGCGCACGCCCCACAGAAAAATCCATTTTTAAATTCAGAGGGGGGAGGCAAATTAAAAAATTACACGACTTTAACCCACTTGCTTTGGGTGATTTGAATATAATTTGTAAATACTGTTAAAAATTTGTTAAACATATTATGATCAATTTTTCCATATATATTTCCATAGCTTAGGTAAATACGGATCCCTTTTTAGGTCTAATGCAAACTTTCTCGATATTACGGATTATAGAAAAATTCCAAATTCTGTATATATTAGTCTGTATATTTATAAATTGCCATACCTCCCAAACAGCGGTATAATAATTTTTATATTATATTTTTAAATTTAGAATTTTTAGAATTCAGTAAGTTGCGAGACTAAGAACACCTTAAGGGGGTATTCTACTGTAGAAGCATGAATTTTGGCCGGTTTTTGAAGCGTTGTATAAAGGAAACAAATAATATTTTTACTATCGATTTTTTATTATTTATTTATTGATATTTTATTATTACATAAAAAAAATTATTAAAAAAAATAGAATTCACAAAGTTATGAGCAGCAGTGATCCGAAACATAAAAAATAGATGGATTCTTAATTATTATAGATGCCGCTATCGCTATCGTATGAATCTGGATAAGTTAAAAAAAAATTTTTTGTTTGAATGGCGACAGTTTGAAAAAAAAAATTTTTTTTCATGTTTTTTTTTTAACAATTCCGAATTTTCTAAAAATACTAAATGAAAAGTTATAGTTTCGGGAAAGGTCCATGCGATAAAGCGATGTATAGAGAAGATCCTCTCCAAAGAAGTAAATCGGTTCATTAGAACTCGAGATATCCTTACCGCCAGCTCGAAAAAAGTAGTTCCGAGAAAAACGCGTTCAAAGTTTTGAGACTCGGTCGGACCCAAACCGAGGCCACGTCACTTAAACGGATATAACTCAGGAAATAATAGTGATTTTGAAAAATTCTTTTAATGACATATTTCTGAATAACTAAACTTTGAAAATATAAAAAAAATTTTTTTTCGATTTTTTCAAAATTCTACAGTAGAATACCCCCTTAAGAAATTCAGCTCGCACAAGTTACTCAAACATTTAATAAAATTTATAGTTCTATGTCTATTGTCGCATAGTGCACACAATCGTTTAAAAGTGCAGTAATTAATTTTTTATGAAGTGATAACGGCAAAGGCAGCAGTAAGGTGTAATCGACGACTTAACGGATATTTTAGATATTTAATATCGAGATAAAATTTCTTATAGAAAAAATAATATTTATAAATTAAATCTTATATAAATTCGCATTTCTTATACGCTAACACCTACATCATAGGTTCCTATTCGTGTATTTCTATAGCCTTACGTATGCCTATACGTTGCATTCTATACTACATGCCTTACATCTATATACAATGCGCTATATTTCATCATATACTCTCAAATCCCTACATTGTATACCGAATACACCTAACCTATATCTACTATATATCCTATTACCTATATTTTTTTACACGCTACATTAACCCTACCGAGAATCGAACCCGGGTCCGCCGCGTGGAACGCGACGACCTTATCCACTACACCACCGTAACGCTACAATCAACCGTCTTTTTTCGCGTGTCGTCGCGCCACCTCAGTATTAATTATCTAATTAATTAGAAAATGACCCGCGGAAACAACAGTGCGTCCCATATTATATTATTAATGGGGGTACCCGATAGGGTAGTGGCTAAGGTGCGCGACTTCCACGCGGAGGTCCCGGGTTCAATTCCCGGTATAGACAATAGATAATATATATAATAGGTAGAGATAATACATAGGGCGTAAGGTAAACCTATATAATATAGGTGAATATATAAATTAGACAGTTGTATTTATAAGAAGTAAAAGGTATGTAGGGTATATAATAAGTTAATGACGGTATAGATATCTCACGGTATGATAGATAATAGATATCTATATATGATATACAATAATATATAATAGTATAGTATGATAGGTAATAGGTTATCTATCATATTATTAAGATAAGTCTTATAAAGTATTGTAATAAATCTTGAGTACGTTTATATCATAATAAATACATGTAGGTACTAATGAATACAAATAATACCAGAATAAATATAATTAATGTCATTGAAGAATATAAATTATGTACTCAATGATTCCCTCATACTTGTACAATTTAATGTATAGACTAGCTGTATATAATAGAGTTAATTATATAATAAGTCAATATATTACATTTGTGAGTTCTTATCGAAATTTATCAAATTTTTTCAACCGGTTTATGAACCGGATTTTAAATATTAGCGTTCCGGCAAAAAAAATATTAGCACAACACCACTGTATATATATATAAATAAATATATATATATATATATATATATATACATATACAATCACTATTTTCAAAAGGTATAGCAAATGTGTATGTTCTGCGTCTGGTATAATGGTATCGTAGCAGAAAACAACGTCCTAGGTCAGTAATAATGCACAGACAAACCTTTCGTCCCTTAATAATTCATAGCATTTTTTTTTCAATTTCGTCACTATTACCAATAAGTACGTTTGTAATCAATCAAAAATGACTGATTCTGAAGATAATATAAATTAAAATGACGGCTATATATTGGTTTTGTTTAATGCTATTTTCAGATGTTGATACTTTCATTCGGCACAACTGTCGTAAAAAGTTTGATTATCTAATGGGTGATACTTGCAAATCTTTTGTTTGTTAACTACAGTATGAATCAAAAATTATTTACCCGCAGTGGCAACACAATCGAAGCCAATGAAACCATAGAAGCACTTAGAAGCACCTGCGATGATGCCTACTATGCCATAAGGAGCAAATCCACCATCTCCGTGACCTGCCGTTGGAGGCAGCGACCAATTTGATGCATCGGCTTTGACTGCACCAGCCGCCACGAAAAAGCCAACCACAGCTAAGTTGACCAAGGTGAATAAGTTATTGAAGCGCGATGATTCCTTCGCTCCAAAGGCTAGGGCAACTGTAATTAAAGAAAAATTAACAAATAGTAAAAATAACTAAATATTTTATATCATAAAAATATATATATACAGGTAAACCCCGCATAACACGGTACTTCTACAACACGGATTCGCTCTAGCACGGTTTAAGAATTGATACCATCCCCCTTATAACACGGTACTTTTAAAGCACGGGTTCGCTCTAACACGGTTTTAGAATTGAGCAAAACCCTAATAAAATAAAAAATCTATGAAAATCAAACTTCATTTAATCTAAAATTATCAAAATCGTAGTACAATAGCTCAATAAATGTGATGAAACTAATGCAAAAGATAACTAATTTGATACTTATTATTCGAGCGCGTACGTTCTATCAAAAAAAATTTTAGGCTTAACAAACAATTAATCAATTAGTCTTTAACAAAGATCATTTAAATAAAATGAGCACAAAATTTTAATAAAGATAACTTTGCATGTGGTAAATATATAAATATCTTTTCTGTAGAAGCACGTAATCGCGAATATAATTGTTTTTGAAAAAAATAATGTACATAAAATAATAAAAGGTAGTACAGAAAGCTGCTCAGAGGATAGTGATATCTTGCAAAAAAAGATATAGTTAGCACTTCCCATTTAATTCTGAAAAACAACATATAATTGATGTAATATTACTTCTTAAAAAAATTAATAACTATAACAATATTTAGTATATAATTATGATAAGTAGCATGTTTTTTGAATTCTTGGAACATAACCCCTCTTTTTGTACTAGTTCTATAACACGGATTTGCTTAACACTCTATTTTTTGGAACGTAACTAGGGTTTATACCGACATTTCACAAAACCGGTTTTCGACTTCGAAATTATTCAGAAAACCGGTTTTAACAGGTTTTCGAATTTTATATAAAAAATCCATTTTTGCTCGAATATTCTAAAATAATGAGAAAATTATTGGCATATTTAGTGTGATTTAAAGCAGTTTTCGACTGAATTTATTTTATGTTCAATTTTATGAATAGTAAACAAATTGATTTTAATTTTAATTAGTAGAACAAAGTATTAATAGTTGATTATTGTTATTCATGAATTATTTTTACATATGAGAATATATATATTTTTATGATAGTGAAAGAAAAGAGTTCGAATAAATAAAACGTAGACAACTTAATTGGTTAATGGGCTGGAAATCACAAGTTACAATAGAAAATAAACTCTTAATCTACAAGACAATAATTAAACCAATATGGTCCTACGGTCTACAACTATGGGGTGCGGCCAGTAAATCGAATATAACTATTCTACAAAGGTTCCAAAACAAAATTTTGAAAGAAATCGTGAACGCTCCAAAATATGTTCCCAACTGGTTGATACATCAAGATCTCAGAATCCGAACCATAGATGAAGAAATTAATCTATACTGCACCAGATATAAAGCTCGTCTGAGTCATCATCCAAACGTATTAGCGTCAGATCTGCTCAAGCCTTTACCACCAAAGCGTCTTAAAAAAAGAATATGCAATGATCTACTACAAAATATAATATGATATCTATGAAGGCGCTATCGCAGGATAGCGATCCTTCTCACGCAGACAATTAATATATAACTGTAACATATGTAGCTGAATGTACTTTGTATAGCTTGCTATGAAAAATAAACACAAAAAAAAAAAGAATAAATAAGAATGATATATTTAAAAAAAAACTTTTACCTTTTAATTAAAAAAAAGTACATATTATGAAACATACTTGTTAATGTCTATTTTAGTTCTAAAAACGTGTTTATTCTATTTCGAACAATTTTAATTAATTAATTTCACTTTTTTTTAAGTTTGAGCAGAGCATTTCACTCCTTCAACAAGAAGTCACATTGATGTAAATTAATATATACATTTGATAAAAAATCTAAATTAATATATACATTAGACGAACAATAACACAGAACTTTCTGGGAACTATAACAGACTGATATGATTCCAAATATCAAACCGATATGATTCTAAGTTCAAAACGCTTGCTTTCATCTTGTATATTTGTCATTTTTCATTTATACAGTAAAAACCGATTTTTTTCACTGAAAAACCGGTTTACGAATTTCATAATTTTTGTCAAGAAAACGGTTTTCAAAACCAGTTTTGGAAAACCGACAAACCCTAGTAACTACCGTGTTATGCGAAAGTTATCTGTATTCAATTAAAATCTTGATTAACGGTGAGTAAACTCAATTTTTTTTCAGGTAATATTTGACAAAAGCAAGAAATATGGTACTTTTACAAAATCATGAAATTATCATTTTACAAAAAACTCGATCATTTACTTTACTTTGAAAATCACTTTTTCGCCTACTTTAAAAGTGATTCAAAACTTCGAGCATTGAGTAATCCTATACAATATAAATGCTAATTATAATATCATTGAAAACTATGTATCACAATCAGTTGTGACTTCAAAGTAGAAATAATTTTTAAAAATGCTTTAGATTTCGGTAACAAATTATGACCATTGCAACAAGATTGGCAATTCATGAATATTTCATTTATGCAGATTACTATACAACTAAGATTACAATAAGATTTATTACTTACATGCGCACCAAATACTACTATAACTTACAATTGATCATAATGTATTGGCATCATGACATAATAAATTACTGATTATATGCAATTAGACTGATAGTATGGATTTACTTTGTTTACAAGATCAATATCAAATACATATAAAATAAATTAACGATTGATGTAAGTACGTAATCCAGTGAAATATAATTATTATCAATTTATTATATATAAATTATTTTAGAGAGCAAACTAAGTAAGCTATTAAACAGATAGTATGGATTTACTTTGTTTACAAGATCAATATCAATTGATATTGATCTTGTAAACAAAGTAAATCCATACTATCAGTTTAATAGCTTACTTAAATGTATTTAAATACATTTAAAATAAATTAACTATTGATGTAAGAACGTAATCCAGTAAAATACAATTATTATCAATTTATCATATATAAATTATTTGATATATAATAAATTATTCTATACATACTGGTGAATAACATAGTGACGCCAAAAGCGAAGAAATCAGGATAGGGCGATAAAAAACTGACGTCGATTGGCAGATGCTCCCTCAAGTAGTTACTGATCACTTTTCCTATTAAGGCGTCTAAATATGTGCTTATGGCTTTGACAACACTGGCAGCGCCTAAAATTTATAAAAAATAATATAAAAATATTAGTTTTTTTGTTTAAAAATAATATGCTGAAAATATTAAAAAATGAAAATTCTAGCCTTTCTTGTATATTATATAAACTTTTATCACTTACTTAGCTAATGCTAAAGTAACTTCATCTCTGTAGGTTATGAGTGTTTAGTGTATTGTAGTTATGACTATTTTTTTTAAAAGAAAATAGAAAATATTAATAATTTGAAACGTTTGATATTTACGATTTATGTCAGTTTTTATAAATTAACATTGAAATGGAGAAACCCAATATATTTAGTATAGCAGCTGAAGTATCAGGTGCTGAGAATGAGAGTATGTATTGCTTTTTCCTTGATACACTTCAAAGGCAATAAAAATTCCTGAAAACTGATTAACCTATTTAATTGTATATTAATCATTAATCAAAATTGTCAATCTATGGTCGAAATAAACCGAAAAAATCGAAAGCAGTGAGTTTATTTGAAAGTACTTCTCATTATAAACGCACATCAGTTCAAAAATCCTCAATATTACAAAAGGTATAAAAATAGAGATTTCTATATTATCGATTGTTTTTGAAAATGTATTTTTATTAACCGTAATATTTTTTATATATATATTATTTACTGCATATTCAAATAAATGTTCATTATTAGGTAATAAATGCAAATTAATATTTTATTGGATATAATAAGCTATATGTATGTTATAAATGCAAAGGGAAAGTGCGTATGAAGTAATATCAGAAGCAAATTAGCATCTGCGCTTACACTTAAGTATGTGAGAAATTTACAAAAATTATTCAGTTTCAAAATAACGAATATTATATATTACTCATAACTCTTAAACACCTAATTTCCAGTAGATATGATATTTTCCAGGAATGCGGTTAGTACCTTTCGGAATTATTTTATATGAAATTAAATAGTTTTTTTATTTATTTATTTGGCTTTATCAACTATTGCGTTAGTCAAACTAAAATACTCTTTAGAGAATAAGAAAACAATAATATTCTGTGACTCTACTATGAATGCACTTTTAAGAGCAAATTATAAACGTCTATTTAATTTAGGATCGATATGGAATGATCTTGGTATTAAAATCCATTATGATTTTAATGATGAAATCCAAAAACTGATGATTTTTTTCTAATATTCTTCATAATAAAAACGTTATTTAAATAATCATGTATCTTCTATACTTATATTAGAATAATATACATCAATATCAAACATACATCAACATTCAGCATGTTAAAGCACAAATTAGACTTTATTTTATTTTTTATATGAATTAATTAAGTAATTTCATACAACTCTAACCATTTTCAGAGAGAGTTGCATCTAACCAAGAAAATGTTGTAACAAACTTGTTTAATTTTATTACATTTTGTAATATTTTATGTATATTTTTTTGAAAATATAATTATAATAGCAAATTGTAAGTCTAAATTAATATAGAACTAAAATAATGTTATCAAAATAATATTTTTAAATTTTATCCAATTTGTTTTATTTAAAATTTTATACTAACTTCTTTTATTTAATTATATTTTGTATTATTTTATGTGTTTATTTAAAAATATGATTATAATTTAATAGCAAATTGTAAATCCAAATTAAAATAAAACTAAACTCATGGGACGATAAAATTTTAAACTCTAAGAGTGACTTGCAAAGATAAGTCACTGGGAAAATCCGTATTAGTAAAATTTTCAAATTTCAGAGATACTTAGATCGATAAATTATCTTATTTATTATTCGCAAATTATTGTTGCTGATTCATTAAATTTATTTCAATATAATTTAAAAATTTGCTTACTTGAGATAATCTTAGCATTTGAAAACTTGACAGGAATTTCCATTTGAATAAATAAAATTCCAACCATTACGCTTCTTACAAATTTTCAACAGGTAAGCAATATTAATAAGGCAATGTTTTTTTATGATTTGAAAAATAAAAATATACGTTTTTTTGAATCATCTCCAAATCAAGAAAAATTAATAATAATAATAACCTTAACATATTATTCGATAAGAAAACTATCAAACGTCATAATGTCTGCTAATTATGTTTGCAGAGCACTTGATTTTAAAAGTAATGGTGTAGTTTCTTAACATTTTATTGACAATAAGATTATTTGGAGTTGTTTCTGTTATTTAGATGTTATCATTTATGTGGTAATGAGAATGATTCCGATATCAACGTCAATGATGTATTTTTGGTCAATACTTAACTTTACTGCAATCATAAATATTTCAGAAGGATTACTCTTGACCCATATCAGGCAAAAACAAATTCAGGTTAAACCAATTATATATTACGCATTGAAACAATACAATCTAAATAAGCAATCTATTTGTTTATAAAATATTTTTATTAATATACCTATACCTTGCAGAAATAACCCTATAGTAATTTTTATGCCATATGTTAATATCAAATATTTGTGATTATATGGTCGTATTTTTCAGTTTTATTTCAATATATAAAATTGATGGTTTTCATAATTGCTTTTTCAAAGTTTAATATAAAATTAAAATTTTGATGATATTTTCTGAAATTTAAAAATGACTTTCACCTAAATTTTGGGTAATATTACGTCTGATAATGTCACCATTATAGATAAAACAATGATATCTACACAAATTAGTATTGAATGATTATATCTGAAATATTACAAACTGAAAAAAAATGTATTTGAAATTATAAATTAATAAACATAACATTATAGGCGGGCCCCGTAAAATTACGCTCTGCGAGGACTGTTGCTTATCGGCGGGCAAGGTATTATTACGCTTTGAATAGACTAACTTTAAAAGCGAGTCAAAATACTTTTATCTGATAGGTTTACATATGATATTGAAAGAATAGCTGATTTTTTCTAGATTCAATTGATTTACGTATTGAAAGACTTTTAGAACAAGAATAAGGATATGGAACAATGTGTTTTATCTTCAAGTTTCTCTTCATTCAAGCTACTCGCAATTTGTTTTGTAGATAAATATGCAGAATTTACAACAATAAAAAGGTGTTCAATATATATTTTATCAAATATTTTAGTTATTAGTCAGATTTGTATAGTTCAACTCTTTTTTACATTGTTATTTGCAATAATGAAATAATGGCATCGAATAGCGATAGTAAAGTTTGCGCCAATAATTTATCACAAATTGGAAGTGATTTTGATATTACTGATTTTAGTAGTGTATGTGGATGAAGATTTATTTCATCCTAGAAGACGTAGAGTTTTACCGATTATTTCCAGAGATTCTGGAAATAATGACAATGCAGAAGTGGAGTGGTCAGAATTTGACAATCCTCCAATTATTGAATCATTTTTAGGTCAAAGTTGCGTTGTTTTGAAACCAAATAGTTTAAATGAAGTGGTTCAGCTATTTTTGCTATTCGGGTCCCAGCACCTCTTCATAAGGGGTGATTTTTTCCATAAATTTCACGTATGTAAAAAGTGGTTTATATATCTACTGTACGTTAAATTTTTAACTTTCCGTAGGTTAGTTATAACTAACCTATATATAGTAATGAGCGGAAAATCAAGAATGAAATTTTTTCCATTTTTCTACGGTTTTTAGGTTTCTGAACATTTTGGCATACCTCAGAAAAAATGGATGTGTCTGTGTGTGTGCGTGTGTTTTTGGTGGCCGCATTTTTCCGTTCACGTTTTCGGGCGCACGGATCAACCGATTTGAATGGTTCAAAAAACATTCGATTCCTATTGATAGGGAGATGTGCTCATTAGTTTTTGGCAATCGCAGGTCCAGCCGTGACGGAGATACAGAGCTAAAAGTGCAGAAAATAGAAATCGAGTTTTTGAGAGAACGGATCATCCGATTTGAATGATCTAAAAAACATTAAATTAGTAATGATTGGGAGAAGTGGTGATTAGTTTTTGGCAAAGGCAGGTTCAGCCATTTTAAAGATGCGGAGCTAAATGTACACAAAATGGCAGTTTTTGACCTTAGATAATATGAACAGAATAATTGAATCATTTATTGAAGTGATTCTCTAAATATGATTGTGATATTGATCCGATAAATTTATATGTGTGTTTGCAAGTGTGTGCGTATGTATGTGAGTGAATGACATAAGCCAAATAGCTCATAGAATAGTCATGTATTCTGATTGCTATTGAAAATAAAAATTAAAAAAAAAAAAAATTAATAAACAAATGTCATATAAATAAATTAAATATTTGAAATTTAAATAACATTTCAAATAATATAACAAAAGCTTAAAATATGTTGATAATTATCAATAACAAATTATAATGTAAAATATTATCATATTATTATTATTTCTAGTCGACTATAGCAAAAAAATATTTGTTAAATGTAATTTGTAGTCGATACATAAATTTCAATAAACGTTCAATTATCATTAGAAAATTATCTGAAATGTTTTAAGTTTACTAAAAATAAATATATTTACAAAAAACAAACAAGTTTTATAATATTATCGGTTTAGACATATATTAAAATTGTCTATTTTGCTCTCGTAAACAAAATAAAAAATGCAATGAATATACATTAGTATTAGAATCACAAACTGTAATTATTTAATTAGTATTATGTACTTCCATTCATTATCATGTTATTAGCAGTTTTCCATACAAAAAATAAAATGTTATTAATTATTTGAACAGAATATATGAAAAACTAGTCTAATCTAATCTGTGCTGCTAGTCGTAGAAAGAAATGCAAAAATAAATTCATTTTATAAGAAATTTTCAATTTAAAATGTATTTTATATAAATTAAAAATATTGCAGGAATTAATTGTTTAAACAAAATATTTTTAAAAAATGTGAGAATTGTTACACAAATTGTTAAAAAAATGTTCAGTATAATTGTATATTAAAATTTTAATATTTTTATGTATTTTATATAAAAAATGAATGCTATAAAAACCATCTCGAAACTCTCAACGAACAAATTCAGACATTGATGATTTCTTAATTTTTTATAGTAATCGTAAAACTATTATTTTTGCCTAATTTCTTTGAAACATGATTTTAAGTATTACGCGAACGCAAACGATATATGACAGCGTCAGTATAAAGTTTGCTGATAAAATCTACTACATAGTCTCATAGTTTTAAGTACCAGAAAAATCTAATTAATAATGTTCACAAGTGTTTAAATATTGATATGAAACCTAATATATTATTGTGTTCGTATATTTGTATTTATATTATATTTGTATTTGCACGGTCTTTGCGCTTTTAGACCATATAAAGTTTCATCAAAATTGTGACATCAGTCTGTGCCAAAATTCAGAATTTCTTTATCTTCTGTATATGATGCAATAATTTACATATTTGATCACAATATTATTATAATCTGAACAACTTCATCAACAAATTTTATATTATTTGAAACAAATTCAATTTTTTAAATAATTATGAAAATATTTAGTATTAATAAATTTAAAAAACCTCAATAATTTAAAGAGATTATATAAGTATCGAAATTAATATAATTCTATTCGATAATTATCGAAATTAATCAATTTACCTAAATTCCATTATTTAATCATTTGTCTATTTAAAATTTGCTTGTAATTTTTAATTCAAAACTCACCTATAGCATATTCCATAATCAGATTCCATCCTATTAAATATGCTACGAATTCGCCTACGCAAACGTAGCTGTAGATGTAGGCGGATCCTGCCTTGGGCACACGAGCACCGAACTCCGCGTAGCACAAAGCTGCAAAATGAAACATATACTATAGTATAGATATAGTAACGGCAGGTCCAACCGTTTAGAAGATTTGGGGCAAAAAATCAAAAAACGGCCATTTAGTTTTCGAAAGAAGTGATCGTCCAATTTGAATGATTCAAAAAAATTTCAATTGTATTGACGGAACGAATAATTGATTAAATTTTTAGGAATGCAACTCCAGCGATTTCGGTATTTTATAGACTAGACACTTTAATAATAAATACAAATTTTATTCCTATTTGTTTGAAATCTATACCAATATTTATAACATAATGTTAATTTATAATCTGATTTTTATCAAAAATTTTCAAAGAAATTTATAGCTTTTACAAGTTAAATCACGGTACGGAAAGTTCCAGCAAATTGATTTTGATTTTATATACTTGACCGTAGCCATGTTCGAAAACAACCAGATGTGAAGCAGTAGCGACGTTTTACTTTTTCCAAGTAAAAATCATTACTGTGTGTTAGAAAAATTTGAATAATAAATTATATCAAATATGGTTGGGCCAACAGTTCGGTTAAAAAAATTGACTTATTGTTGCATAAATAAAAAATTGTTTTTCTACAAAAACATCTCGTGAAAACAATAATTTTGATGGGATGGCTATTGCATATAATATTTTTTTTAATGAATGTAAAGAAATATTCATTTATGTATATAATGAATGTTTCTTTAAATAATAAAAAAACATATTAATATATTATATAATTACTATTTTTTAAAAATCGATTTGAAAACGGCATTTTGAACAATATAAAAAGTAGTGTAATATTTTTTTTCTTAAAATCAATAATATGTTTCTAAGTGAGAATAGCCCATTGACGTATTATATGGCTATAATAATAATATAACATCATCGCAATTAGAAAAGAACAACCATTGGCTTGCCTTCTAATAAAAAATATATCAATTAAATAAGATATGCATTGATTGTGAAATATGGTGAAATAAAAATTTGGTTTATTAAATGCCACGGAACTCATATTGTAATAAGAATTAAATTAATTAAAATTAAAATTATAGAAATCAATTTTATATTTTACCATGCACCTAACGAGAATAAGAATCAAAAATACAAATACCATAAATAAAAATTTAAAAAATAGGGTTTTGTTTTTGAATATATAATCCCAGAAACACGAGAAGAAATATTTTACGAATTATTAATATTTATTTATTTTACACAAACACTTATTTCAATATTTACTGCCAGTGCTACGGAACATAAATTTCTTACACATCTCCATATCTATAAATCACTTTTAATAGACGCATGAGAGATATTAACTGAAGACGATTTTTATTGAACCAATAAGCATTAATATTTTGTCTACGTTATTAATAGAAGATATCAGTTTATATTATATTAAGTTGAATATTTGACATATATATTAATTCAAGTGGCATACCGCAAAAATAGAATGAGGTTTATAACCTCAGCTTATTTAGCATGCGCGATTTATTTGTGACTGATGCTCATTCTGATAAGATTACTGACGACTACAATAATTGCAAATTAGATTTTCTCAATTTATCAGTTATCGAACGACGCACATGTTAAGATAAAGATAGATTAACAATGTATATTGTAATGATATTTTAACAATTAAGAGATACGTATTTTCTATCGAATGATTCTTTCACACGATAAATCAGTATCTTTTAATTCACTCTACATCTCGATAAGATTGCAAAATCGTGCTCTATGTATTTCAACCAATTAATTTGACTACTAACAAAAAGCGAATTTTTGTCCAAAGATACTTCATGAATTTAACACACAATTGCAAATAATTAAATAATTTCTAAAAAGTCGATTTTTTTTTTTTTTTGATAGTTGTTGATGTTAATAGAAAATAATTTATAGCATTTATAGCATAATTTGTTCTCAAAAATAAAACCAAAAATATTTTTAATTCTTTTAAATATTTTTTTTAATATTATTTTATATTTTTGTATATTTTTTTATATTTTTAATGATCATTTTTGTAGCTCATAGCAAAATATCAAATATATTTTTCGTTAAAAAGTAAAGTTATCGGTCAGAAATTTTATGTAGCTTCTAGTTGTCTTGAATTATGTTAATTTCAATATATGCATTATATTTATGATTTTGATTCGAACAGCACTCTTTAAGGTATGAACATACGATAAAACATATAACATAAAAATAACGCTTTTTGCGTATCGCGTAATATGGAAACCGCGCTATAAGAAAATCGGATTTAAGATACAAATTAGGCTAATTAGTAGTGCTTTCTTTGAAAACTTGCTATAGCATTGCATAGTCCAAAAACTGTTTTCCAACAAAAAATTGTTCAATTACACCAAAAACTACAGATAACCGATATCGTGTACATCTACAAACTGGCACATTTATATAAAAATGCTGCAAAAGATAAAATAGTAAGTTAAAATAACTTATATCAAGGGAGTATTTTAGTCTCGACTAGAGGCATGGATTTTATGTGATTTTTAAAAGACCATAAAGAAGGTAAACATTATTCATACTATCCATTTTTTTGTTAATATTTTAATAAAACAAAACAAATTGAAAATTAAAAACAGACTAAAGGTTTTTATTCTAGTAGGTGATGAAGTGTGGGATCTCAAAAAATTGTCACGTGGCCATACCCCTGATTCCTAGCCCTTCAAATAATCCAATAAAATTTAATTTTAAAACATTCGTATGAACTACGGATAAGTTTAAAACATCGCTAAATAAAGACAGTATGAAAAGGAAATTACAACTTTTTTGATATTCTCACTAATCACTTTTTATTAACTTCCCGTAGTGTAAGTTATTGTATTCTTTTAAAAAAAATCGAAAACTTGCATATATCTTTACGTTTCTAAGGTTTCTAAACATTTTGACATACCTTAGAAAAAACTAATGTATGTGTATGTATGTGCAGATACAAATTTTTATCGACTATTTCGGAAACACGGATCAACCGATTTGAAAAATTCAAAAAACATTCGATTCGTATTGTTACCGAGCTAATTAGTGTTTGGCCAGCCCAGCCGTTTCAAAGATATGGGAAAAAAGTACCCGAAAAGCTAGTTCAGTTTTTGAGATGAGGATGAATTTATTTGAATGACTTAAAAAGCATTTTATTTATATTAATAACATGAAGAACTGATTAAATTTTTGTGAAGACTGGTATAGCGGATTCGATAATCTAAAAAAAAGTAAAAAAGTGCCATTTTAGCGGTCAAAAATGTTCATTAGACATATGCACATCAAATTATCCGATATTTTATAGAAATTTTAATAATAAGTACAAATTTTGTTATATTTTAATAATTATAAAAAAAGATTCATTCTCAAAAATTAAACAGTTCTGAAAACCTCGCTTGAGAAATCGTAAGTATCCAGCAAGTCAGTTTTGAGAAAAACGCTTTCAATATTTTGCGAATCAAGAAAACAGAGGAGAATTATCGTGGTCAAGAGGCAATATTTCCGAAATAATTTAAATTTTGAAGAATACTCTTGTACATATTCTTAAATAGTTAAACTTGAATAATTTAACTTTTTAACAATCGATTTCTTAAAACTTCAAGACTAGTATACCCCGTTAAGACATTTTGGAAAATTTCATTGACGTGTTCTTCATTCATAAGAAACCATGTTATAGTATTATCACGTTTTAGGAGAGTTGACTATATTATATTTCAACTTACCTGCAAATACACTTGCAATGGCAGCAATAAGAAACGATATGACAATCGCAGGTCCTGCATGATTCTTCGAAACGGCACCAGCCAGCACATAGACGCCAACTCCCATCGTGGATCCTACACCAAGAGCAGTAAGGTCGAGCGTGGTTAAGACCCGGGCCAAGGCGGCGCTGTTCGACCCATCCTCCGGCCTATTGGTAGCCGACGCTTCTGTTAGACATTTTTTACGAGACAATACCGAATATGACTTCTGCACGCACCCACTCATAGTATAATATTAATTTGTTGAGATCGCTGTAAGAAAAAGAAAATTGAAAATTGATTATGGTGCACTAACAATAAGAGAACCAAACATGCACGATTAAATATATCCTTTAACTAATTAACTGTTAACCACAAAAATAAGTTATGCTATTAAGATATTGAATGAAAAAGTTAGGTTTATTAACTTCCCGAAGGAAAAGTTTATGTTTTCGTCCAAAATCCTGAATCGGTTTGAGAAACTCAAAATCTACTCAAAAGATATTGTTTAGGAATTGTGCTGATTAGTTTTGGACAAAGATCGGCCAAACCGTTTCTTTGTAATTTACTGTTGAACAAAAATCTATAAAAATTTTAAAAGTTCTTCAAAATTTGCAAAAATAAAGTAGTCAAAATTTGTGTAAAAAGTCGCTTCTGTGATGTGATAGGTCAAAATTTGAATTTCACACATTTAAAAACCGTTGGAATAAATTCCATAAGAAGAAGCCTTGATCAGGTTTGCTAGAAAATCGGCCAAATTGGTAAATAATAAATTAGCAGTCTACAAAACGTCTCTAGTTGTGTAAAAAATATTACGATTAATTTATACCATTAAATAATATCAAGAACTACATACAGATATATGTAATCGTGCAGTTGAAAATTTTATCTAAATTTCTAAATATCAATTTCGGTTGATTAAGTCAATTATTATACATTTTAGGAAGTTCACGCAATTTGTCTTGAGGCAAAATGCTACTTTCAACTAGTTGTATTAATTACTTTTAACTTGCCGTAGGGCAAGTTATAGTAATCGCAAAAAAGGGATCGTTCAAGTATTACGTTAGCAGATTTATTACAATTATTTACCCCCCCCCTCCCCTTTGTCAGCAAAAGTAAGCAAATTTCTTACCCAAAATAAGCAAAATAAGCAAATAAATAACCCCCCGCCCCCTATAGTGCTTACGTAATACTTGAACGGCCCCAAAATCGAAAATAAATTTTTTATATATTTTTACGTTTCAAAGGTTTTAGATCATTTTGGCATACCTTAGAAAAAATGGATGTATGTGTGTGTGCGTGTATGTGTGTTTGTGCGGATACAAATTTTTGTCGACGATTTCGGGAACACCGATAAACCGATTTGAATAATTCAAAAAACAGTTTTTGGCGAACGCAGGTCTAGCCGTTCCAAAGATACGGGGCAAAAAGTGCCAAACACGGTAACTCAGTTTTCAAGAGAACGGAGCGTCCGATTTTAATAATTCGAAAAACATTTTACTTGCATTGCCAAGATGAATAACTGATTAAATTTTTGGGAAGGCAGGTCCAGCGGGTATGAACTCTTAATAAAAATAAGTTAAAAAATGTCATTTGGCGGTCAAAAATGTTAATTGGGCATATAAAAATTATCAGATACTTTATAGAGATTATAATAATATGTACATATTTTTTTAATTTTTTTTTTTGGGTTTCATACCAAGATTTTTAATTACGGTACGGGAAGTTCCAGCAATTTGCCTTAAGGCACGATGCCAAGCACCCCACTATAGTTACACCTTTGCTCAAAACAAGCATATATTGATATATTTCATAAATATCAATCTAAAAAATGTTAGAAATTCAATTAAATATATGTATAAGAAAGTAAGAGCTCAAATCTAATCTGAAAATAAATTCCTTTCTTATATATTTCTTCATTGTTGGCAAATGTCTATTAAAACAAATTATAAAATAGCATTACTGCGATATGATAAAGTTTCTGTATATTTGAGCAAGCTAATCTGTTTGTCTATAGTTATCGTTATACAACCTAATCGACGTTGTTAAATATGAATAAAAATATAAAGAATGGCAATGTTTGATACTATAATAGATAAATATATGAAAACAACACTGCATCCACATAAATATACATAAATTCTACTGGCGAATAATATGTTATATTTTGCAAATTTAAGTTTAGATTTTACTAATTTTTGTATATAACCTCTATAAATCTTGCATGAGAGTTAGGTGAAAAAGACTAACTGAAACTTCACCCTCACAAAGAAATAATTAATAAAAAATAGTAAATAAAAATTAAATTAGAATGCAATTTTACAAGAGATACAAAATAAAAAATAAATAACTATTGCTAACTCTACTTCACAACTACTCATTTATGATGAGATACCGGAACAAGGTTTTGTAAAGAGTTATAGAAAATGTACCCGTAAAATTTATGTTTTTCATCGGTTAAATAATGTAAGTATTATTTTGTAAAATAACTTCAAAATTGAAAATAAGATATTGGACTTGTTTGCACTTTGGTCATCCCATTTTACGCCATATAAGGGGTATAAAGGATCAGGTGATAAAATTTTGAAAATCAGAAATTACAGTGATAAATAAGCTGGAAGTTTTACTGAACATGGTCAGATAGTTGTTTGTTTGATATGTGTTATTTGTTGTGATGTAATTGGTTTGATTTTGACAATATAATTGCTGAAAGTCAAATTAGCCCTTTGTGTCCCGCCCTTAAATTTATTTTTTCATGAATGCTATTTGAAGGCAACCTAATGGTCTTTCTAAATTGCAGGAGAGTCCCGAAAAGCCATATTCATTTGAAAAAATATTTAAATAGAAAACAAAAATCACACTTTTTGATATCAGGTTGTAAAACTCACCCCTTGAACCACTTTTCTTTCGTTCTCCCCATTATATTGACTAATAATTTAATAATAATTTAGAGCAAACATTACATCACTTAACAATATTATCATTAAACCATAATTTGTTTGTCGCAAAATATTTACTACCTTTATCTTATTGACTGCGTTCTTAGATTTTTGTTAGCTTATGAGTCGTTATCAAATGCGTATATTAATCATAATTCCTTGTAAATATGAATTTAAATTTAATATTCCAAGACATTGCATCGACAAAAGAACTAAAACAATGGCTTGAAGATGAAAAATTTGTATATGCTATTTTTTACGAATCAAAAACAACATTTGTATGACGCTTATAATTAATACAATAGTTTGAAAATGCAAAATTTGTTTATGCTATTTTTTCACAAGCCAAAGACAATATTTGTATGACGTTTATCACGTATTAAGAAAATTAGGCAAAATATTTGCACAAGATCGATGTATACAAAAAATGTAAATTAGTTTTTAACAAATAACTGTTATTTGGTATTCATCTAATTATTTGCACTAGCAGTTAACATACTCATATTTTTGTGTGACAATCAATTGTTACAGAATCAAATCAAGTTATCAACTCGCGATAAGTCATACTTTTTTCGATCGCGTCATTCTTTTGTATCATTTTAAGTGAGATTCATGGCCGATGATCCACATTACTTGGATAAAATATATTTTGTAAATATAATATGGAACTAATAATATAGTAACTTCTAAATAAAAACAAGTAACAAAAATTTAGAACCGCCGAATTAGTGGTTGATATATTTCACTTCCCTCAGGGTAATTTATAGTAATGGGCCGAAAATCTAAAATGAAAACTTTTGCAAATGTTCACGTTTTAGAGGTTTCTGAACATTATAGCATACCTCAGAAAAAATTAAGTGTGTGTATGTGTTTTGTGTGTCCACGTTTTTGCACGGTTCAGCTGATTAGAAAGACTCAAAAAACATTCGTTTCCCGTTGATAGGGATATGTGCTGATTAGTTTTTGGCAGAGGCAGGTTCAGCCGTTACAAAGATGCAGAGCAAAGTGTGCAGAAAATAGAAATCGAGTTTTTGCGAAAACGAAGTATCCGATTAGAATAATCCAGAAAACATCCGATTTGTAATGATTGGGAGAAGTGGTGATTAGCTTTTGGCAATGGCAGATCAAGCCGTTTTGGAGATACGGAACTAAATGTGCAAACAATTGCAGTTTTTGAGAGATGTAAGCATCCGATGTGAATGATTCAAAAAACTTTCTGCTTGTGTTGACAAAACAATTGCTTTTGGAAAAAAAAATTTTTTTTTTTTTTATTTTTTCTTTGTATATCGAAAACAATTCAGATTTTAATTTTAATTCTGGCTAAAGTTCTGAAGCTCATTTATATACTTTTATTGAATAATTTTAACTTTGCGATTCAGTTTATATAATTCATATAAATATTAGACAATGTTATAGAATTTATAATAATCTATTTGAAAACATTTAACAATTCTCGAACGTTTCGTTAGGGTACGGAAAATATTTGGAAATTTGCCTTAAGGCACGATGCCATAGACCACTAATTTTATCAATGCATTATGAAGTCATACTTTTTTCGATCGCGTCATTATTTGTATCATTTTAAGTGAGATTCAGGGCCGATGATCCAAAATATTTTTTGTAAATATAACATGTAACTAATTATATACCAACATTAAATAAAGACAAGTAACAAAAATTTGGAACCGTCGAATAGGCGTCTGATACATTTTTATCAATGCATTATAATCAATTTATCACAATGAAATGTAATGATTGACTGATTTTGTCAAAAAAATTTTGATCAGTTAATACCGGTATCAAAATGATATAAGCCATGATGTAGATAACTGGAAAACGATATGAAATGCTCGATAAAATTTTGAATTATCTTCATAACAAGATTTCAACATTTGAATAAATTACATTATATTTCACATGTATGTATATTGTTTTGTGTTGTTATGATTAAGCACAAATAATTATTTTATAATTAAAAATATAATATTATAATATGTATAATAGATAAAACTATTAATCAATTTTTGTAAATTTAATTGATATTGGTATCTTTAACTACTTCAAATAGTCCAACATTATTTCTTGGAATGTAATGAATATTATAATGTGGTAATAAAAAAAATATTTTAAGCAAGACTAACATTCTGTAATTTTCATTGTAATAAAACTAAATTTAAAACAATTTATACTCAAAGACATTAATTCAATATTATTTATAATGGTAGGAAAATTAAAATTAATATAATATAGTATTTTTAGAAAAATAGCAAAATAGCTATCGATTAAAGGTTATTGCCAGTAGCACACCAAATCATTTTATATCTTTTATTTGAT